GATTTCTTTCTCAGCTTGTGCTTTATTGGTATATATAAAAACTTAATTTTATTATTTTTATTCTATTGTTTTTAAAATAATGAATGACTATTGCTATTTCCAAATCTTATTCTTCTTAAATTGAGATTATTCTGTTTTTCACCTTTTTGTCTATTGATAATGATGCATTTCTTTTTGGAAGACCTCAAGTCAATTACCCAGTATTCAAACTTACAGGAACGGGAGGAAGGGGAGAGAAGGAGAAAAAAAAAAAGTTAATGTAGTTAATTCTCTATTTTTCTTTTATGTTCTGCTTTAGCTAATTGCCATGACATTATGTTGTGTTTCTATTTATTAATTTTTTTAGTTAAAAATAAATTCAAGTTTATTTTAGTAAAAATATTCTTTTAAAGTAGAAGAAATTTTTTTTTGGGGGGGGCACTCAGCCAACCCTGAGGGTGGGGCTGGCATGGCATATGGTGTCCGGGATCAAACTACAGTCCCCTGCACCTGCCTAAGTTTGCCTAAGCAGGCGCTTTAGACCGCTAAGCTATCTCATTGGCCCAGAAAAGTTTTTAATAAAGGTACTGTTTAGCTGGCTAATACTTTGGGGAAATGTATACAGACAAGCATTGGACAGATTAAAGAGATAAATGTGAGTAAAACATATTAATATTTTTAATATCTTAGACAATAGAGATTAGTGGACATCCTTGGCTTGTTCCTGATTTTAGAGTCAAAAATTTTGTCCATTTAGTATGATATTGCCTGTTGGTTTGTCATAGATGGCTTTTATCTGGTTGAGACAAGACCATCTATTTCATTTTTCTGGAAGGTATTTATTAGCAATCGGTGTTAGACTTTGTCAAATGCTTTTTCTGCATCTTTTGAGATGGTCATGTGATTTTTGATTTTGGCTCTGTTGATATGAGTGTATTACATTTATTGATTTGTGTATGTTAAACCATCCCTACATCTCTGGGATAAATCCTACTTGATCATAGCATTTAAACTCCTTGATGGTTTGCTCCATTCTCTTTGCCAGTATCTTATTGGGGGTTTTTGCATCTATGTTCATTAAGGAGTTTGGTCTGTACTTTCCTTTTTTGGTTAGGTTCTTCTCATATTTTGGTATCAGGGTTCCAGGAATGACTTTTGGAATATTGCTTCCATTTTGATTTCATTGAAGAGTTTCAGAATTAGATCTTCTCTAAATTTCTTACTGAATTCAGCAGTGAATCCATTAGGACCTGAGCTTTTCTTTTATGGTAGATTTTTAATTACATTTTCAATTTCATTGACCGGTATTGGTTATTTTAAATTTTTATGTCTCAGAAATTCACATGTGTCTAGGAATCTGTCCATTTCTTCTATGTTTTTCATCTTACTAGAGTGCAAGTTCTTAAGGTAGGTATTTATGATCTTATGGATTTCCATAGGATCCATTGTAATTTTACCCTTTTCATTTCAGTTGCATGAATTTGAGTCTTTCTTCTTTTTGATAAAATTGACTGAAGGTTAACAATTTTTGTCTTTCAAAGAACCAAATCTTTCTTGGCAAGCACAAGCACCTGAATTCAATCCCTGGTTCCGCAAAAATGGAGGAGGAAGAGGGGAAGGGGAAGGGGGAGGGGGAGGAGAGAGGAGGGAGGAGGAAGAAGAAAAAGACCAAATCTTTGTTTTATTGATTCTTTGTATATAATTTTCTCTTTCATTCAAGCTTTGGCTGTGATTTGGTCTTCTTTTTCCAAAATTTTGTGGATCAGGGCTGGGGATACAGCTCAGTAGTTTAAGCACCTGCCTGGCAAGCGCAAAGTCCTGAGTTCAATCCCCAATACTGGAAAAAATAAATAAATAAAAAATATCCTAACCAAAATTTTACTGTTCAACATGAGATTCTTTTAGCCTGCTCTGTTTTTCTGATGCAAGAATTTACCACTGTATCCTGTAGGACTGCTTTCGTTGTGTTTCATAAATTCCAATACGTTGTATCAGCATTATCATTTAATTGTAGATTTTTTAAATTTTTTAATTTTGGAAGAGAATACAAAATAATGACAATAAAAAGTTAGAAATTATACAGAATTTCACTAAACAAAGTAATATGAATTCAACAGTTGACATTGTCTGCAAATAGAATAAGCTAGTTTTCTATAGCAGGATCCCTACTTTTTTCCCCTGGATCCTGTTGCATGAGTATTGTTTTCATCCTTTGACTTTTAGTTTATTAATTTCTTTTTGAGCTTAATGTGTTTCTTGTATGCAGTGTATTGTTGACTTTTGCTTCTTGATCCATTCTGCTAGTCTTGTGATTGGTGATTTGAAGCCATTTATAGTGATGGTTATAAGTGATATGTGTTGGCTTATCCTTGCTAGATTATTTTCCTATTGTTCATATCTTGTCTTTCTCTCCTGTTTAATTGCTTTCCCTTCCTGGATGCATTGTGTGTGTGTGTGTGTGTGTGTGTGTGTGTGTGTGTGTGTGTGTATTTGGAATTGTTCTCTTCTTTTTCTATTTCTAGAATAAACTTCAAAGCATTTTGAAAGGCTGGACTGGTTGTAATGAATCTCTTAAGTCATTCTTTGCAAAGGGAGTATTTTATTTCTCTATCAGTTTTGAAAGAGTTTTGCAAAGTATATCAGTCTGGGTTGGAGGTTGTTTTCTTTTAGGGCTTGAAATACTTTACTCCAAGGTCCCCTCAACTTGAAGATCTGTGTTAAGAACTCTGTGCTTGAGAACTCTGCTATGATTCTAATGGGTTATCCTTTACAGATCATTTGTTTCTGTTCTCTAACCATTTTTAGTATTCTGTCCTTGTGCTGAATTTCTGGAATCTTGATTATTATATGCCTTGGTGTAGATTTATTTTGATCATGGCTAACTGGAGTTCTGTATGTCTTACTTATTTGTATGTCAAATTCTTTGTTCATGTTTTTGATGTTTTCTGCCATTCTTTGAAGAAGCTTTTTTATGGCATTTGCACTGTGTCTAGCTTTCTCATTGACTCTAATCAGTCTTATGTTGTTTTTTTCTTGTTTGTCTTGCAGCTGTTTGAATTGATTTTTCATGGTCCCTTTTTCATGGTCCTATTTTTAGGATATCTTTCTTTTTGTTGTCACTAACCCCAATCCTGTCTTCCAGATCTGGTATTTTATCTTCTTCAGTCTGTTTTGTCTTTCAGTTGAATTTTTCAAATTTAATTTAAGTTTATTTTGAATGGTAAAAACAAAAGCAAAAACAAATAGCAGAAACAAAGTAGAAACAGGGTAACATACAATAATATGTGTGTTACAGCTTTTCAAAACAAGAAAAGCTAATTAACAATGGTCTATTATCTGTTTTTATTGTCAAATCTGTTGCACAGGTTAACAGATCGTTATGCAAGATTAAACAAATAATTGAATATTACTACTTGCTTTCAAGAAATCTTAATTTTTTTCTTGTCTTTGTTTTTTTCACTTTAAAAATAATTATTTTAATGAGTATAATAATAATTGATAAGACGTTAGAAACAGTACACCTTTAGGAGACAAGAATGAGAGGTATTCAAGCATGGGTTTTGTATTATACATTGCTGTCCTCAGTGTTGTTGCTTAGATAGTAGATATCAGCACATAGAATTAGTCAAGGTGAAAATTCTACACATTAACTGCTATTTTAAAAAAAATGGTGGAAGTTAGTACAATCATCTCAGCTATCCTATATATATATACTTGCATGTTTCTCCCCCTTTTTTCCTATCTTTTCTCATTTTTCTCATCTTCGTTGTTTAGTTCTTAAGTTCAATTTCTCTCTGTTTTACTATATTATACTTTTCAGGTTTTATTTCTTCTTTCAGCTTCTTACACCAGAGAGACAACAGAATATTTACACATGTGGGTCTGGTTTATTTCACGAAAAAAAATTTCACTTAAAAAGCCTCATCTTTACCAAGTTGATACTCATTTGAATTTTTGATCTTCTGGATATCTGTTTGGATTTTTTTTTAATGGATATTGTATCTTTCCAATATTGGAAATTCATGGTTTCCATGTTTTTCCTAGGATCATCTACCTTTTTTATCTGTATCAATTCTACATTCATTGTTTCTTTTTTAAATTAGAGAGTGTTTTTTTTTTTTCTATAACCACCTCTATTTATTTTTTACTTGTGTTATTATTTGAGAAAATTCAAGTATGTGGCTTCTGATTTCTTCTATCTCATCATGCTCTGGACTTGTTCTGGGTTGACTCCAGGTCAGGGGCTACATTTTGCTTCTGTGGCTCATCATTTTTTATTGTTATTTTATTTCATTTTCTGTGTTGGTGCTTGCAGATTTCTTATGGTAGATAGCTTTATCCTAGTACCATAGCTTCTGGATGAACTGTCTATTTCTCAGAGAAATCTTCTGAGTGTGTTTTTTTGGGCTTTGTGTCTATCCCAAGAAGAACCATTGCAATTTATTAAGGATGGGATGTTACTGTTTATTTGGCTGTGTATTCCACTCTTTAGTACTGGACTATAGTGATGGTTATGACTCTAGGCAATCACAATGTTGTCACCTGTAGGTAATTTACCAATTAATATGTGTACACAGGGCCATATATTCAAGTTTTACTGATCAAGAGTACAGTTAGAAGAAGTTAGAGGCCACTGTTTTAGAGAGCATCTCTATAGTATATTTGAGGTAGAATCTGCCACTTGCTTTTTGATTAGATGAGAACAACAAAGTTCTCATTGTTTTATTTCTATGAATGTAAAGAAGAATGTTTTGTAGCTTTTTAAAAAAAATTAATTCTGTCATTATTTATTAAGATGGTAGAAAATAATTTACCTTTAAAATTGCTTCTACATAAAAATTTTAAAATTCATTTATATATTTATTTATTTAGTTTTGGTTTTTGAGACAGATTCTCTCTAGTTCAGGCTGGCCTTGAACTCACAGTGTAGAAATGTATGTTTAAAAGATGAAGCAGTAGTTATGGACTCCTCTCTTAGACTTCTTTATTTTTATAAAAGAAAATTGCCTTTTTTATTCTAGGACTGTGAGAATATGGGAAGTTGAAAATCCAAAGAAGCAAAAAAGTGTGTTTAAGCCTCGAACAATGCAGGGCAAAAAAGTCATACCCACTACGTGCACATATAGTAGAGATGGAAACCTCATAGCAGCTGCCTGCCAGAATGGAAGCATACAGATCTGGGATCGAAACTTGACTGTAAGTTATAGACAGTTAAATCTGTACAAAATAAACTACCTTACACATAATGACAAATGTCATGTTAAAATGTGAAAGTCAATTTCCTGAGTTCAGATCTAATTTAAGTTTTAATGTTAGTTGATCAAATATTGGGACTTTTGCAGTAAACAGCATTTCAGCAAACATTCCAGCTAGTGTTTTTCCACTGTGTATTGAATTTTGATTTTAAGATAATTTCTGAGGGCCAGCCAGATAGTTCAGTGGATTAAAGTACCTGCTTAGGCAGATGCATGGTCCAGGAGTTTCAATCCCTGGGCCTGCCATGCTGGCCCTGCCCTCAAGGGGCGCTGACATAGCCACTGAGACTGGGCGTGCTGGTGTGCACCTGTAATCCCTGTGCTTGGGAGGCTGAAAAACAGGAAGGATCACTACAAGTCTGATCTGTGTAGTGATACCCTGTAGATCCTGTACTGAATACATAAAAAAGATAACTTTCTACTATTAGTATAAAGTTTGAAGAATATAGTATATTTTATAGCACTTTAATGTATTTAATTTTGAAAGTGAAGGATTTGATAGTAAAAGAAGACTAAGCAGGAGAAGTGTACTAAGAGAACTAGAAAAAAATGTAAGAAAACCACAAAAAGTCTAAGATTGTCTATGGCTGTGCAGTTATTTGGTAGTAATTTCAGTGTTTTTTAAAATACTCTATAGTATTCCATTTCAACAGGTTTCAGGTTTTTGCTTCCATTTTAGGTTATTAGAATAATTCTTAAAAGTGAACAGGGGCCAGGGAGATGGCTCAGTGGAATAAGCGCTTCTTTGGCCAGTGCAAGGGCCTGAGTTCAACCCCTGGTTCCACCAAAAAAAAAAAAAAAAGTGAACAGTATTATAGAATTCTTTGAAATAAGAAATATATAAAGGAATTGACTAATTCTGTGAATTAGTAGTAAGGTTTTAAAAGGTGTTTCTGTCATATAGATGGTAAAAGAAAAATATTTGATAAGTAAAATGAACCTCTATTACCATAATTTGGATTCTTTAACAAAAGATTTTGGTCAGATTATTAATTTAATAAATATTTTTTACTGTACTATATATATGCCAGACAGTAAGTCTTACAAGTACCTCCTATTTCTGGTGGATGTTTTTGTTCTTTGCTTTTTTGAGGTGGGGTCTAGATTTGAAGTGCAGGCTGGCCTTGAACTCATTATGTATCCAGTGCTGGCCTTGAACTGATGATGGTCTTGTACCTCAGTTTTCAGAATGCTGGGACTACAGACATAAGCCACCATGTTTGGCCGGTTCTGTGGAAAATGAAGCCATATGATTGCAGTTCCCAAAAATATCTCCCAAGCTCTCCTACTAATCATAGTCTTTGATTCTATTCTATTCTTTTTTTTTCTGGAACTGGGGATTGAACTCAGGCCCTTGTGCTTGCCAGACAAGCACTTATTCTATTGAGCTATCTCCCCGGCCCCCTTTGATTCTGTTAAGATTTTTTTAGTTTTCTTACTTAATGCACACTTAGTGTCTTAAGTGCTAAGAGTACTTATTAAAAACTCCTGCCCTTATGGAGTTTACATTCTAGTTTATTTGTTTGTTTGTTTATTTATTTATTTGTATTTTTTAGAGAAGGGTCTACAGGTTGTTCAGGGCCTCACTACTAGATCAGACTCAGTGATCTGCCTGTTTACAGCCTCCCAAGAGCTAAGATTACAGGTGTGCACCATCACGCCCAGTTCAATGGCTGTCTCAGTATGCCCCAGAGCGGGGCTAGCACTGCAGGCCTATGGAACCCCTGGGGCCTTGGGTCTGCTAGCAGGTACTTTAATCTGCTGAGCTATTTGGCTGGCCCAAAAGTTGATAAGGGCCAATTTACTCCTTACAACACCAAACACTTTATATTTCTATTGTTCACATTTTATAGATGAATGAACTGATGTTAAAAGCTTAAATAACTTGCTTAAATCATGCACCACAGAATGCAGTTGAACTCAAACACAGATCTGTCTCATGCTGGACAGTAGACTTTGCTATAATATTCAGAAATCTTGTTGCCTTTTGTATTTTCACCTTTTTGGTCAAATGAAGTTAATTCCTATTTCTAGTTTAGTTCTGCTGTTTAATCCATGAAAATACCTTAATGACTTTAGCATGACAACCACCTAATTTGAGAGGAAACTCATCTTTTCATAGTGAGGCTAGTTTACTAGCCTCTTAATAAATGAGTTACTCTGTCTTATGAACACATACTTTGCACATTACCTGTACTAATATGTAAATGTACACGTAAGGAATTCTAAATTCTTTTCCTATAGAAGGGGAGCTATATTTGTTTTAGCATCTACTTATTTTGTGAATAACTCTCTGCCCTCCTCTCAGGGATTTGCAAAGATTTAAAAAAATTTTTTTTTTTAATTTTAGGGAAGGGTCTACAGGGTGTTCAGGGTCTCACTACTAGATCAGACTCATAGTGATCCACTTGTTTACAGCCTCCCAAGAGCTGAAATTATAGGTGTGTGCCACCACGCCCAGTCTCAATTGCCCTCTCTGTGGGCCCCAGGGACGGGGCCAGTTTGCCAGACCCGGGGATTGAATCTCCAGCCCCTGTGCCTGCTGGTAGGTGCTTTAATCCACTGAGCTATTTGGCCAGCCCTACATGCTAGTTTAAAAAAAAAAAAATATATTCTGTTGAACTTTACACCTCATACATTTATATTTTGCATGTGACCCCGGGAAGCAGTTGTCTTTTCCAGCAGTTAAATCAAAGTAGTTGTGTTGGTGTAAGGTAAGACGTAGTGATGGGGCAAAAAATTCATGCTGATAATGTTGAAAATATTTTTGGCATTTTCTGTTTGTCAGATCTTTTTATTTCTGTTTTCATCTCCTCTGTAAACCTCATAAAATCTCATAACAGCACAGAGGTTTTAAAACTCCTTTGTATTGTAAACCAAACTTTAACCAAGCAATAAATTTTTTAGTAACTGGCTTTCATCCGCTCTGGATGCTGTTGATTTAAACTGGAAATTCTAAAACATGTAGTTTTCTTGTATAGCTATAATGCTCATGTTTTTGGTATAGTCCATGTATATGTGCCTCTTCAGACCTACTTGCCTTTTTCTTTTTTCTTTTCTTTTTTTTTTTTTTTTTTTTTTTTTTTTTGTGCTGGAAATTGAACTCAGGACCTCGTGCTTGCCAGGCAGGCATGTGCTGAAGAGCTATGTTACTAGCCCTCCATGTTTTTATGCAGTAGTTTTTTAAAATTGGCCTTGCCTATCTTGAAATAACAAATACCTCCTATTTCTGGTGGATGTTTTGTTTTTTGCTTTCTTGAGATAAGGTCTAGGTTTGAAGTGCAAGCTGGCCTTGAACTCACTATGTAGCTCATGTAGGCTTTGAACTCATGATGGTCCTCCTACCTCAGTTTCCAGAGTGTTGGGACTATAGGAATAAGCCACCATGTCTGGCCTATTCTTAGTTCTGTGGAAAATGAAGCTATATGACTGCAGTTCCCCCCAAAAATATCCTAAGCTATTCTACTAATCACAGTCTTTTATTCTATTCTCTTAGAATATTTCTTTATTTTTTAAAGAGAATAAGAAATAGCAAAAAATAAAACAAAACATTAGAAAAAAATACAGATTTTCAGGCTGGCCAAATAGCTCAGTGGATTAAAGTGCCTATAAGCAGGCACAGGGGCTGGGGATTCGATCCCCGGGCCTGCTGTACTGGACCCGCCCCCAGAGTGCACTGAGACAGTAATTGAGACTGGGCGTGGTGGCGCACACCTGTAATCCCAGTTCTTAGGAGGCTGTAAACAGGTGGGTTATTATGAGTCTGATCTAGTAGTAAGACCCTGAACACCCTGTATAGACCCTTCCCTAAAATACAAAAAAAAAAAAAAAAAAAAAAGAAAAGAAAAAGGAAGAAAGAAAAAAAGAAAAGAAACAATACAGAATCTCACTAAAATGATAGGAATTTGGCAATGGTTGTTATATTGCATATTGCTGTCTTCAAGTTAGTTGTTCAGATTACCAGATATAAGCATGCAAAATTGGTCAAAATTTTTTTGAAGAAAGAAATAAAAGAATTTAATAATGTATGGATGTATACTATATGTCTTGGTTACTTTTCTCTTGTTGCTGGGACAAAATAACCAACCCCCAAAATGAAGGGAAGAAAGATTTATTTAGCTCATAGTCAGTGGAACTTTCAGGCCATACTCAGCTGGCTCCAAGGCAGAGCGGCACACGGCACAGAAAGCAGCCAGCTCATTGCAGTGGCAAAGAACAAGAGCAAAGGGAAGGGCAGCAGCTCAGGCAGCTAGCTGGCCTCTCTCCCCTCCTTACATTGTAATGCAGCTCACCTGCCCCAGAGCAGGCGCAGCGTCCATACCCACAGTAACCAATCACAAACTCCAGGAGCCTCCCCATGACTGCATGGGGCTTTGGGGTGACAACTTGACACAAACCATAACAATATATTATGCCAGATCCCATTTCTGTTTTATTCATATTTTTATATTTGCATATTAATGTATACCAACAGAAAATAAACAAATTGAGAAGAAAACTTTGCCAGCAGGAAACATAACTTATTTTAAAGCATTTTTAAAAATTCTGAACAGTTATTTCAAAAACTTACAAAAGTCATCCAAAGGGAAACATTAGAAGAAAGTAAGAATGCTTCTCCTCACAGGAGCCAATGGTGACATGGCTGATAATGGCCAATTTGTGTTTTATGAGGATTAAGTAAAGCTGTCATGATTGCTACATTTAATTATTAAATTCTAATCTGATGAACTTGAATGTTAACAAATCAAATGAAACATTTTTCTTTAGAAATACAGTGTTTCCATTGATGTTAAACTC